AAACACAAAGGAGTGACCATTACACAGTTTTCATGCAACACCCAAGAATGCAGGTGCAAACGACCACACTGATTTCAAAGCTAACTGGCTGGAAACTATTTAGTGAACATACTGGATGTGACTTGATGGGAGTCAGTGCATTGGATACATTTATGTTCTGCATTATAAGCAGTTACTCCTTGGGGTGCAACGCATCTGGACGCAACGCATACGAAATTGTCCTTCCGTGGGCGCTGCGTTGCAAAATACTTTTCACCGAAAAATGACCTACCTCTTAGTTACCGTGAGTGGTTGTTGCACCTTCTGATGCCAGAACAAGTGTAGTGACTGCAGAAAACTCTTTATGATACTACCCTTTAAGCGCCACTAGTTGGCACAAAAGACATTGTTGCACAGAATCGGAAGTGAGAGCTGCAGGCGGACATTTTCTAATCCACTTTGTGAAGTAATTTGCGCACCTCTCAATATGAGTGTGGTTCAATGTTGCCTGCTCTGACGCCGTAGACAAGTCGCAGTTAATTGTATAAGACGTCGCTACCTCTCACTCGGGTTTCCATAACGCTTATGCGGAGGCTGCTTTTTTTTTATTTGTGGCCCTGCTCGAGTGGTCTCGTGGCTAAGGTACTCCACTGCTGACCCGCAGGTCACAGGATCAAATCCGGGCTGCGGCGGCTGCATTTCCGATGGAGGCGGATATGTTGTAGGCCCGCGTGCTTAGATTTGGGCGCACGCTAAAGAACCCCAGGTGGTCTAAATTTCCGGAGCCATCCACTACGGCGTCTCTTATAATCAAATGGTGGTTTTGGGACGGTAAACCCCACAAATCAAATATTCAATCGAAAATGAATGGGGCTCAATAGGCAATTCAAGGTGTTAGCACAATATTTGAGCGTTTGGGTAGCAAATATTCATTCCAAGAAAGTAGATGTCGGTGTTTATTTGCCCTATTTCAAGAAAAGTGAATTATAAGCTCCCTTATAAGCATCTTTTTTGTATTCGCGAACCATCGGCCCCTGTTCACATCATCTATCTTTGCGGCCTTCGACGGGACCACGGCCAGATAAATGGAAATTCTACTAGTTGAGAAGCCGTCAATTAATGTTAAAATACAGTCATGTTATCATTCGTCCTTTTTATTAGGCGTATACGCCGAAACCACACTGCTTATTGCATTCCTAGGTAAGCATGTATGGTTTCGCAAGCAATTGTAAAATCTTGTCAGATTCGCAAATTCATTGTCCAACATGCAGACTCTTTTTCTATGCTCTATCAACTTCCTGCTTGTTACGGCAGTTTAGATGCTTGTCAAGTGGATTATAGTCCGTCCGGTAGCTTCCGCCGTTAGATATATTGAGCAGGCGCCAGCGAAGCGTATTCGCAAGTTTTGTAGAGTGTCACGCCAGCCCGCGGCCACCGGGGAATTTTTCAAAGAGTATCGGTCGTTGGGGCGGCGCCGCTCCTGGATGCATTCGCTTTGTATTGTTCGAGTCGTCATCGCGGCCAAGAAATGCCGAATTTTAAAGGCTTCAAAAGCAATCGCATGTGCTGCGTGCCGCAGTGTACAAACACAGCGTCGACGACGGTCAGTCTCAATTCCTTTCCAAGATATGAAGTGACAAAAAAGGAATGGATAGTGAAGTTGAGAATTGGAGTAACGGAGTGAGTTACTCACTCCGTTACTCACGGAGTACGGTTTGAGTACACGTTGTTACATCAGGTATCAAAAAATTAGGTATATGGTGTATCCGGCAAGGCTACTGCATCACGACTGCGCATCGGACATGCGAAAATACTCACGGCGCGCTATCGTGCGCCTATATAATCAGTGACTGAATAAACCGATCGTTCTTCTTGTTCTGGCCATCCTGATGTATCGTCGTCTTTGCTAGTTACATGGTGTCAGAAGTGGCCACCGCGGACCGAAGCACGGCAGCGACGGCGCGAAATCGCCATGGACCTACTGAAGCCGCCGGAGCCATTGCGCCTTGTCTGAAAATTGGAAGCGCTTCAAGCAAAGATTCGAGCTTTTTCTGCAAGCAACGGCAGTCGAGAAGGTCCCGAGAAGCGACTCCTCGAAAGTAGCGCTCTTGCTGAGCTTCGCGGGAGACGAAGTGCTCGACATCTTCAACAACTTTCAGTACGGCCCCGAAGACAGCAAGGAATGTTACGACACGGTCGTGCAGAAGTTCGACGCCTACTTTTCCGAGGTGAGCGATGAAATTCACGAAAGATATGTTTTCGTACACGAAGCCAGGCGGAGAAAGAACCTTTTGAGAAGTTTGTGTGGTACTTAAAGAAGCAGGCGACACAGTGCAACTTTGGGGATCAGTGCGAATCACTGATTAGAGACCAAATTGTGTTTCGTACGAACAACCCAAAGCTGCGTGAAAGAATGCTTGCCGAGAGAGGCCTGTTGCTACTAAAAGCCGAGGAAATGTGTAAAGCGGCAGAAGCAGTGGCACTAAGGAGCCTAGTTTAGAATAGGACGGAAGACAGCATTGACGCAATTTCAAGTGGCGAAACGGTGACGAAAAAACGGCAGCAGCGAAAAAAAACAGAGTCGCGATAATCAAGATATTTGCTGCAGGAAGTGCAACCGCAAACGTAAACCTAAGCAATGCCCCGCGTATGGTAAATTATGTCATTTTTGCCAGAAATACAACCACTTTGCAAGTTGTTGCCAGAAGTGTACCACTGTTAGCGAAGTGGCTAATCTTCATGAGAATGACGTTGAGATTCTCGAAATCGGCTCCTAAAATTGTCGCAAGAAAGACTGGACAATCAAGGCTCGAGTAAATGGCAGAGAAGTGACGTTCAAAGTGGACACTGGTTCGCAGGCAAGCTTACTTCCATGTACAACGTACCGTAAGCTTGGATCCAAAGAAGCTTGCAAGCAACGGGGTCAGTGTTGCGCGCCTACAACGGGGGCGTTATTTCAAGTTATGGAACAACGTCACAGAAAGTGTCTGTCGGAACCACCGAGATAAGCGTGAAATTCTTCATCGTAAAGAATGGGCGCCAAGCCATCCTTGGGCTCAATGCCAGTGAAGCGCTTGGATTGGTTGGACGTACGGTGGACGCTGTCAATGCCTCGTCTGAGTGTGAACTTTTGAAAGATTTCAGGCACCTGTTCCAAGGGCTCGGCTGCTTGAAAACGCAGTACAGATTGGTCCTGGATCCAGACGCGGTTCCGGTCATTCAGCCTGCTCGCCGGGTTCCACTTGCACTTCAGGAACCTCTGAAGAAGGAACTACAGCGAATGACCCGAGAGGGCATCATCGTCAAAGAAAATGAGCCAACCGACTGGGTAAGCCCTCTAGTACTGCTGAAAAAAAAAAGACGGTGCTCTAAGGGTTTGCATGGACCTCATAAGAGTGAACAGTATATCAAGAGGCAGCATTTCCTTTTACCCAGACGCGAGGACTTGGAAGCACGGCTAACCGGTGCTACTTATATTAGCTGTTTGGATGCAAACGCCGGCTTTCATCAGGTGCCCTTGAACAAGACAACATCAAAGATCTGTACGCTCTCGTCGCCTTTTGGCAGATACCGTTTTCTAAGGCTCCCTTTTAGCATCCATCTGCGCCCGAGGTGTTTCAGCAGGCACTTTGTCAGATATTTGATGGTCTGCCAGGCGTGCTTATATATATATAGACGATATCCTGGTATGGGGCTCAACGAAGGAAGAGCATGATGAGCGCCTGGTAGCAGTCCTCAAAACTGCTGAAACAGCTGGATTAACGTTTAATCCCCACAAGTGCAAGTTTGGCGTAAAAGAGCTACAGTTTTTGGGTGATATCATAAGTGCGAACGGCATAGCCCCAAATCCAGGGCTCATAAAAAGTTTGGTTCAAATGCCAGTGCCAACATGTAAGGCCGATGTTCAACGTATGCTTGGTGTGTTGAACTACTTTGGAAAGTTCATGCCGCAGCTATCTGAAAGAACGGCCCTGTTAAGAACTCTTATCAAGGCCAGTTCAGAGTTTGAGTGGACGGAAAACCACGCCAAAGAGTGGAAAAGCGTCACGCAAATTCTCACCACCGCTCCCGTGCTCGCAATATTTGACCCATGACCGGAAACAAGGTTGCCTTGCGATGCATCGAAGGACGCCGTTGGTGCCGGTCTTCTGCAACGTCACAATAACGAGTGGCGGCCGGTAGCTTACGCATCTCGAGTACTGGCCAAGGCAGAAAAACTGTACGCACAGATAGAAAAGGAGGCCCTAGGAATTTGCTTTGGATGCAAAAAATTTCACCAGTTCGTCTACGGCCAGAAAGTCACAATTGAAACGGACTACAAGCCACTCCAATTTCCCAAAAGGAAGTTAGTGACATGCCACCTCGCCTTCAATGGTTCTTTTTGCGGTTGTTCAAGTATGATTTTGCTTTGCAGTATATTCCTGGGAGGCACCTTGTTTTTGCGGACATGTTGTCCCGGTAAACTGCTGACAACCAAGACGAGGCTGGTGCTACTACCGACGTGGAAGTTCACGCAATCCAGCTTCTAGGTTACCATGTCAGAGAAGCAACGCAGAAACCTGCAAGCGGCAACGGCTCGTGACGGCTACCTACAGTCGGTGATCGCAAGTTTGTCGGTGGGGCTTCCAGTACAAGGTGAACTAAAGCCTTTTGAGCAACAACTCTCATTTGTCAACGGAATACTTTTAAAGGCGTCGAAGGTTGTTATTCCGAAAAGCATGCGACAAACTATGCTTGAAAATATCCATGCAGGTCACCTCGGCATGCAAAAGAGCAAAAAAAAGGGCCAGACGCCTCGTCTTTTGGCCGGGGCTTAACGCTGAGATTGCTTCCATGGTGCAACTTTGTCCTACATGCCGCAAATATGCTTACAAACAGCCCTAGGAACCGCTTCAAATGCGGCCCGTGCCAGGTTGTGCATGGCATAGAGTTGGAGCTGATATTTTTTCGTTTGCGGGGGACTCGTACATCGTTGTCTTTGACGCCTTATCAAACTTTCCGGAAGTTCAAAGCTACCTGACATGTCGGCGCAATCAACCATCGCAACACTGAGCGCTATTTTTGCTAGATTTGGCGCGGCCGTCGAAGTATGCACTGATAACGGCCCACAATTTTCCAGCCATGAATTTCTTTTGTTTTCAAGGAGGTACGACTTCACGCACGTCACTTCAAGCCCTCATTATCCGCAGTCAAATGGGCTTGCGGAAAAAGGTGTGCAGGCTGTGAAGCGCATCATGAAAAAAACTGCAGATTCGGGCGACGACTTCTGGCTGGGCCTGCTGGCCTACCGCTCTACCCCACTGGAGGACGGGCGATCCCCTGGTGAACTACTGCAAAGAAGGCGCCTTCGCGCCAACCTCCCGGACTTCAGTACAGTGACCGCAACCGATGTCAAAAAGCACAGCCAGGCCCAAGGGGGAAGACCTTTGCCTCCTCTGCAGAAGGGTGTCGTTGTGCGGCATCAGAGACGATGCATGGTCCCGCAAAGCTCAAGTGGTGGATTCGCCATATGCAAGGTCCTACCTTGTCAAAACGGAGGACCAGAAGCTGTTAAGGTGCCACCGTCGTCACCTACTTCAAACTGGCGAATGGTTCATCGAGGAAAGCGACGACGACATTGATACCAGCCCAGCGGAAAACAACGTTGGTGGCCTTCCGACAGTGGCAACTTCAACCTCGCCAGCCAATGGCCGACGTCGCGAAGTTCCGACGTCGGGCGACCCTTCGCCACCTGTGGTGCGTCAGTCAACTTCACCACCGACGCCAGCTTTGAGAAGGTCGACTCTAACCGTGAAGCCACCACAGCGTCTTCATTATGACAAGGACTTTAACCAAGTGTATGATATCATTTTCCGAAGTGCCATGTACTTACCACTGTTTCGGTGGCTATGTAATTTCGTTGTTAACGGAAAGGATGTATCCGGCAAGGCTACTGCATCACGACTGCGCATCGGACATGCGCAGATACTCACGGCGCGCTATCGTGCGCCTATATAATCAGTGACTGAATAAACCGATCGTTCTCCTTGTTCTGGCCATCATGCTGTATCGTCGTCTTTGCTAGTTACATATGTGAAGGTAGCGAAACGGCCGCGAGTACATCATGAGCGTTGTATGTAGTCATGCTTTAAGTGACACGCTTGTTTATGTTATCATGTTTGAATACGAGCCCATTATGTACCAACCTATTTCAATGTACTTCCCCCAGCATTTTTATCACAAAAACAAAATAAAAATAAAGAAACTGCTTTGGTGTATTTGTAAACAATTGTAATGCATGTCGTGTGTTATTTCATATACACTCATTCGCAAGATTGATGATGCACAATCATCCAGTGTGGTACTTTGCTTAAGAAGAACTTGCTATAATTCTTTCTTTTTTCTTTACACCTTTTCACTTTCAATTGCTGTAACTATTGTATAATGCTTGTAACTATTGCTTGTATGTCCTGTTGTTTCTAATCTTATATGCACGTTGTTTTTTGTCCTATTATCACTCTTAGGCCATGAAATACTATCTTGTAACGCGTCCGGTTTGTTTTGCTGTCTGCCAGGCTCTGCCACTCAAGCCACCAACTGGCTTTGGCAGGCCTAGTCATGTGTATTGTTTTATTTGAAGAAATAAAAGGTATTATCATTATTATATCAATATTATTAGTATTACTGGTTTGTGCGTTTAGCATGCACGTGGAAAGACGCTGAAAATTGTCATTGCGAAACGTCAGAGACTTTGTGCTGCTGTTCTGATTAAACAAAAGTGTAGTGCAGCTGCTCACAATCAGACTGATACTCTCAGTTGGATTTTGTGGAAGGCTTGTGTATTTCAGAGCGAATTCCGCCAGTGACTTTTTTTCATTGCGATCAATTATATGGACACTTTCGGCTGGATTTCACCGCCGGCGTGGGCGTCGACGTCGGCTTTGGCTTTGACGTTGGCGTCGGCGTCGATGTCATGCACCGTATATGTATACGTATCTATATATATATGAAAGCGCAAGAAAAAATTCAGAAAAAAACACTCCCGAGTACGGAAACAAACGTGGGACCTCTGCGTTGCGAAAGCGAGGCGTCGTGAAAACGGCAAGCTACTTATATATACCACTTACCGCTGCTCAGGAGCATCTGGGGGGTGGGGTGGGGGTGGATTGTGTTTTCAGCATTACCAGCAATCTGGCACAATGAGCGCACGTCGCCACATCACGCGGCGGCACCCGCTCTAATCTCCTACGCGTACTTTGCTTGACTTGGAGAACGCGAGTGACGCTCCCTCACAGGCCCTTAACTCGCGGCAGCGAGGAGGGGAAGGTCGTACGCCTTGACTGGCCTCGGGCTTTACCTGCAAAAATTCTGCTGTAGTTAGCGGGCGCACAAAGGCCACTGCAATCCGTTTGCGAAAAGCGCGCGCTTTTCAGACACAGCAAAGTAACAAATGAGATGCTCATTCCCGCGCATCCGTACCTTTGAGCACGTTTTGTGCGTCATTTATGCATGAAAAACGCGGGGAATGTTTTGATCGGCTTTCCATTCTGCGCGTGACCTTTCAATTTATTGCTATCGCGTTCATTGCTATGCCTTTCCGGAGAAACTGTAACTTATTACTTTGACCGGAAGCCAGGAGACTGGCCATGCGAAGGCAGCTATGCAAAGCGTGCATGCCTTCGAGTCGTTAGGTGCGTGCATCGTTTAGGAACCTCACACATACGTGGCATTTCGCATGATAGGTAATTTGCTAATTCATCTGAAGGTTGAAATACGTTAGTGGAGCTCTCGCAAAGTAATCCCGTAAAGTGGCACGCGAGTTCATTCATACGGTAGGTCATTCTTGCATCGTATGTCGACAAGGCGCAATTCCGAAATATGATTGGTGCATCTAACCACTTCACGAAAAAAATCACAGCTGTTCTTATGTATTAACTATGATTGATGTCTTCGTCTGATACATTATTTGGGCCTTAGATACCTCACTAAACGCTAAAATTGGCGTCGGAAACATCACCGTCTCGCGTCAACAGCGTCCACGCGAGTTGTTCTTTACACTGCATGACAATCACTGTGAATGCTCTCTGCCATACCATTTTTACAATCAAGCTAGTACCACCCATGCACTGAGTAACGAGTGACAATCACACTGCCGTTTGGGTGCTATCACGCCGTTAAACCTCCTCCTCCCTTCCCTGATTCAAGAGGCATATATATTTGGATGTTTTATGTGTGGATTCTCATATATCTCTCATATATCAATACCTTAACAAAAATCACTAGATATTATTATAAGTATTCGAGAAAGCGACATCCAATGAGGCTAAAGATAAAAATATATTTGTAAGGCTAGGCTGAGAAGAGTTATATTCAAATGGCGTTCTTTTACCTCTACGGGTGATTTTGTAGTGTATTTTTTTCTCAGAATTTAATTGCACAAACTGTTGATGTGGTTCACGACATAATTTTATCAGGCAACACGTCTGCCGGCCAGTGAGTGAATATTGAGCGTGTAAAGCTATATTAAATTATATAAAATCTGTTTGCCGTCCATCATACGGTTCAGTTGATTCATTTCGTAAACGTATGGCATGGCCCAGCCGTGCATTTCAACATGACTCTCTTTTCATAGGCTTGGATCGAATCATGATGGTGAAGGCACATCGAAAGTTTGTCCAAGGTATAGTTACGTAATGACCGCCGCAACCACTAGACAAACAGTGCCACTATACTGGGACTGCACTATAGCTGCTGTCAACAAATTCTTGCGACAAAGGTTCATAATCATGCATTTTAAACTTCGGTAGCACTCGAGCACTCACTGTTGGGCTAGTTGGTGCATTACTAAATTAAAAAGTATATTTCCCGCCGAAATCACAACACACAAAAAAATAAAACGCATAGAGTTTTATACAATATACACAGAGAGGAATCTGGCGCTGCGATTGTGTACCCTCATGAGAATTTTGGGAGGAACAGACTTCGAATTGGATCGCGTTAGCCAGCGAACTGTCTACGGAACTTCTTCTACAGTTTCAGTTTCATTCGTCGCGTACAGTGGGTAGTGGGGTAGGTTCAAAGGACTGAAACTGAGCCTTTGTTGTTCAAAGAAGCTGAAAACTGCTAGGCCTCTCGTTTTACTGCAAAGCTGGAATTGTGTAAGTCGTGTTTGACACCTTAAGCGAAGCGTCATCCACTCATCGCTGCGCATAGATGTAGCGTCCCAAACCAATGCGGGATATTACATCGAGGTCACGTTCGTTGTTAGTGCACCTTACCAAAACTCGTTGAAATTAACTGCAAAGCGATGACGACGCGAAGTAGAGGCACCGCCATGCTCTTCCGACTCGACTTCCCAAAGAAACGAGAGGTGCGTCGGGGCCAGATCACTTGAACAGACGCGCCTGGCATCGCAAGAGATAAAACGATAAGTGTTTCTCACTTAATACTGTGCTGCTATTTCCATAAATAGATATTGCGTACTTTCGAGCGCCAAAAAAAGAATCTCTGCTTTCAAATGTTGTAAAAAATAATTCATTACACTTCGATGCCAAATTTGGAATGCAATGGCAGAGCAATGCATAACCGGGTGGTTAAATTTGACCAGGTTTCACTTCTACCACCTAGTCAAAAAAAAAAAAAAACTTTTGCAATAAAGTTTGCGTACAAAAGGTGAGGCTCGTTTCAATTAGATGTTACTTCAAATCACTTTGTTTTACACTCAGCAAACAAGCTTCACGAATCTGAAGAACGGGAGTGATCCGAAGCCTATCCACAGCCTGTACTTCCCGTAATTCCCTAGGGGGTACAAGTGCCTCTGAAGGAGTCCGCGTAGACACTAGCGCCAGATTCCCCTCTAGGTATTATTGTATGAAACTCTATGAAAAAACGCATGGAGAGGGCGGGCGTCCGTCCTGTCTATGTGCTTTCGGAATTTTATAAGTCGCCCGTCCTGTCTATTCAGACATTATATAGTTGTGTGACGTTACCAAGTAATCTCTTGCCTTTCTTCCGTTTTCACCTGCGCTGCTAATCTGAGAGCAAATTTTGACGTCACCCTTCATGCCCTAACACTATAGCGTTTCAACTCAACCTCACCAAGTGCAAAAGGATCAAAATGTGGGCCAGTTGGTAATTCATTTTCTTCGTTCAGCGAACTGGGAGTGCAGAGAAAAACGTCCTTTGTGTTTTTCTCTGCGCTCCCAGTTCGCTGAACGAAGAAAATGAATCACCAAGTGCTCTTTTTGTGCTTAATCTTTTACGCCTTTTGTTGCTGCGCTCTACACCAACCTTACTCACTGTTACTTTTGATAAAAGGGGGACAGGTACCAGCAGACGAAATAGAATAAACACAATAATAGTGCTTAGTTACGCTGTTAGATATATATAAAATAAATCACAACGACTACTTATGCCTTTCCGGCCGAAGCCAATATGGACTCATGTTAGGCTTCCAATAAAACATGCAATCGTCTGGCCGTTATCAAAGCAATAATTTAGGGTGTATGATCCCTTAAAGTGGCCAAAAAAGTTTGATTCATGACTTTATTTGTGGCGTTTAACGTCCCAAAACCACCATACGATTATGAGAGACGCCGCAGTGGAGGGCTCCGGAAATTTCGACCACATGGGGTTCTTTGAC